TTTTTACTGCAGCTATACTAACTTTACCTACCTTAACTTCTACTTTACCTACTACTATAATAGTAGGTCTAACTAAGAAGCCTTACTTATTTTTTAAGTTCTTCTTTATAGCTACTAGCTTTCTAAAAAAGTCTTTAGTAAGGAAGTAGACTTATTCTACTACTAAAGGTAATAAAGAAGCCTTACCTTTACCTATAAGTTTATTTAGTTTACTAGATTTACTCTTTTTTTTACTAACTTCTTATTTTATTAGCTTTATACTCTAATACTTACTTATCTATTACTATTAGTATTATTCTTACTTCTACCTCTACTTCTATTACTAAGAGCTATAAGCCTCTTTAGCTACCTATTTACCTAGGCTATACCTATTATCTTCTAAAAGATAAAGAGGCTTATATCTTTAAAAAGAGTAAGTAGTCTTATACTTACTACTCTTAGAAGTAGTACGCTACTTATTATAAAGTAAATAATATTTATTTTTATTTAGGTACTACTAGTTAACTTTTATATAGGTTCCTAATTAGCTTAAAGCTAAAGTTACTTTCTTTTATAATCTTCTTATTATTCTTTCTAGTAATATTACTATAAAGTCTATTACTACCTACTTTAATAAGTTAAGTCCTAAGCTTATTAAGGCCTAGTCTAAGGCTAAAAAGAAGTCTATTAGTTAGCCTAGGTATTAGAATAATAACCTTAGTAATACTATTACTAAGTTACTTCTTTATACTATTATAGTTAAGCTTAGTAATATTTAGGCTATACTTAATTATTAAAGTAAGGCTATCTTAGTTCTAGTAAGTTTTTTTTCTAATTTTACTATTTTTTTAGCTAATTTCTATATTTTTCTAGGCTAAGACTACTAAGGGTTAGACTAAGTATCTTATTAATATTATTACTAAGCTTATCTCTCTCCTCTTTAAGCCTTAAGAGTTACTTATTTATAAGAATAAAGTTAGTAGTAATAATTAAGATACTTTTAAAAATAATACTACTATTAGTAGTAAAGATAAGGTAATATAGTAGTAGTTTCTTAGGTTTTTTCTTTAGCGTTTTAGTAGATACCTAGTATAGTATAGTATTTTAAGCCTATAGCGCTCTATTAGTAATACTCTAGCTACCTATAAGTAGTTAATTTTATACTTATTAACTAATTTTCTTATTCTTCTTCTAGTAATATTTTAATTTTCTTAACTATCTATATTCTTAGCCCTAGTAAGAGTATCTGTTAGTAAACTGCCTATAGTTTCCTATAGTACTTATTACTAAAAATATTACTTTCTCTACCTCTACCTTACTATTACTAGAAGCTTTAGTATTATTATAGTTTATTAAAAGAACTCTTTTAGAAATCTCTTAGTAATTTACTAGTATTATTTTATTTTTCTTTAAAGAAGGCTAACTAGCTATCTAGTACTTTAGCTTCTTTAAGGTTTTTTACTAGCTTCTATAAAGTTATAGTATAGTCTTTCTATTTAACTAGGTATTATTTCTTACGCTCTTTACTGCATTATTTCTACCTTTTACTTATAATTTCTTTAATTTTCTAGTAGTTTTCTAGTTCTCTATTAACATTTTCTAATATACTCTTAGGTTAGTAATTATTAGTATTTTATTCTACTAGAGAGTTTCTAAAGTATAGCTATAGCCTATCTATATAAAATACTAGGTAGATACTAGAAGAGGTATTTAATTTTATAGTATAAAGAGAGATTACCTTCTCTACTTAGAACTTTATATTTTTCTAGTTTAGTTTCTTACTTAGTTTACTATTAGAGAAGTATTTTCTATACTATAGCTATACTTAGTCTTCTTCTTATAGTTATAGTACTTCTTATTAATAGCAGTTAGCCTAGATTTCTTATAGTTATTAGGCTTCTACTATTCTTACTTATATATAATCTAGTATTTCTATAAATTTTATAGTAAGTGCTCTAGCTAACTTCTTTAGATTATTAGGCCTTTAATATTATTACTAAATTACTTATTCTATATCTTCTTATACTATATCTATATTATATCTATATTATAAGAAGAATAGGCTAATACTAGTAAATACTGCGTTTCTTTTCTTAATAGTAATTTAAGTAGTAAAGTATATTAGTACCTAGTTATCTTATTTCTAATTAATATAGGCTTATAGGTAAGCTTCTATAGTACTATTTATTCTTTTAGTAGTACTATTAGTTTCTAGGTAGTATCTTATAGATACTTAGTATATAATACCTAATTTTCTATAAAGGGTTTTTTAAAAATCTCTAATAAACTAACTACTATAATTAGATATAATAGTATCTAGAAGCTAATAGTAGGCTATAACTCTTTCTATAAAGGCTCTTACTACTATTTAGGTATCTAAGTTTCTTAGTAGAATAAGTATTATATTCTTACTTAACCTATCTATAACTACTATAAGGTACTAGTACCTATTACTTATAAGTAAGTTAATAATAAAGTCTATTAAGATTTCCTTCTATACTCTATCTAGGAGGGGGAGTAGCCTTAGTAGCCTTCTTTTTAGTTTCTTCTAAGGCTTAGTTCTTTTATATATATTATAGTTTTAGATAAATTACCTTATTATAAATAATATTTCTAAAAAGAAGTAGTTATAAGCTAAGATTATATAGGTATTTTTACAGCCTAGATAGCCTATAGCTAAAAATTTATAAGTTTCTAAAATAATTTTAGTATATAGTTCTTCTAAATTTAGTACCTATTTTTACTTTTAATAATATAGGAACTTTCTTTTATTAATACTATATTCTACTAATAAGACTTTTAAGTTTAGGTCTAGTAGAAACTTTCTTTAGCCTATTCTTATAGCTTTTCTTACTCTTCTATATATTAGATTATTTTTAGCTATATCTCTTTATATTATCTTAAGTTCTTCTAAGCTACTATAAGCTAGAGTAAGATTAGTTCTAGCTTCTATAGGTATATTATTAGGTTCTATTAAGAAGTTATTATTTACTATAAGTATACTATTAGGTTCTTAAGATTATAAACTTTATATTTAGTAGTAGAATAAAATACTTACCTCTTTTTCTTTTTTAAGTTAGAAGTAGCTCTTTACGTATAGTTATAAAAGTTAAAATTCTTTTATCTTTATATATTTATTATTTTAACCTATAGGTAGGTCTTCCTTTTTATAGAAAAGTATATCTACTCTTTTATTAACCTTCTCTAAGTAATATATAAAGGTTAGGTTAAATTAGCTAAGTATATTTAACTAGTATATATATCTTTTAGATAATAGCCTTATAGTATAGAAGTATTTTAGGTTCTTATAGTCTATAATAATAGTAAACTTTAAAACTTACTAAAGTTTAGCTCTCTATTAGTTTATATATTTTATAACAGCTAGCAGCTCTTTATTATATATAGTATAGTTAACTTCTACTATTATATTCTTTACTAAGTAGTATACTACTATATAGAGTAGCTTATTTTTCCTAAACTATAAAAGGACCTCTTCTATTACCTACCTAGATATATTATATTCTATTATTATTTCTAGCTTAGAGTTAAAATTAGCTAATAATAGCTTAGAAATAAAGGTATTCTTAAGCTTTAAAAATACTGTTTCTTAGAGTTCTCTTTACTAGAATACTACTTCTTTTCCTATAAGTTTAGTTAGTAAAGTAATAATTTCTAAGAATCCTTTAATAAATTATTAGTAGAAGTTTATAAATCTTATAAAACTCTAAATACCTTTAGTACTTTATAGCTATTCCTATATATAGATTACTACTATCTTTTCTAAATTTATCTAGATACTATTACCTACCTCTATTATAAAACCTAGGTACTTAGTTTTCTTAACGCTAAAGTTATATTTATCTATATCTAGTTATAGGCCTACTTTCTTAAGTTTCTAAATAATTACCTTAACCTAGCGTTTATAGTCTTCTTATAATCTATCTAAGTAGATTAGTATATTATCTATATAGGCTAAGTAGTAGATATCTAAATCTTCCTAAAGTACCTAGTTAATGTATTATTAAAATATACTAGGTACGTTAATAAGGCTAAATAGAGTAATTAGCTATTTATATAGCCTAAATTAGGTATAAAATACTATCTTCTATTTATCTCCTTCTACTACGCGTATCTAGTAAAAGGCTTAGATTACGTCTACCTTTATAAACTACCTTACTTTTATAATTTAGAATAGGGTCTTATAGATAAGAGAAAGAAAGTATTTATCCTTATATATAATAGTATTTAATACTTAGTAATCTACGTAAAATTATAGCTCTTTTCTAAGTTTCTTTATAAATAGTATAAGTACAGCAGCACTAGATTTACTTACTTAGATAAACCTATAGTCTAGGTATAATATAAGTTCCTTCTATAGTACTAGTAATTCCTCTCTAGATATATTATAAAGCAGCCTTTATAAAATTTCTACTAGCTTACTATCTTTTTCTATAATTTTAATTAAGTAATTAATAGTAGTTCCTCTTAGTAGTATAAGCTTATTAGCCTCTTCTCTTAAAAAGGTCCTAAACTTACTCTATAAGTAAATTAGTAGTTTCTTCTAAAAGTTAACTATCTTTTTCTTTTTTAGTACTTTTTTAATATCTACTATAAAGGTAGAGTATAATTAAATCTACTTATCCTTTTAGAAGCACTTTATCTAAATTATATAAGTATATATACTAATAGCCTTAAAGATCTCTACTAGTATTCTACCTTCTTTACTCTATATTCTTATTTAGCTACTATAAATAAATATAGATTTCTTTATAGAGGCTAAAGTTACCTAGTATCTATTTATTTAAGGTCTTTCTAAAATAAAGTTATATTTCTTATTACCTTCTAGCTTATAGGCCTATATTTCTTCTTTATAGCTATTTATATCTATCTATATTTAGATAGCTAACTCTATCTAAGTAGAGTTTCTACCTATTTCTATAATAAGTTTCTACGTAATTATAGTATATACTAGATTATTTTATCTTATAAACTTAGAGAAGATAATTAAATAAGTTAAGTAGCTAGTATTAATTAGAGTAGATACTATAGCTATATTATTTATAATTACGTAGACTATTAGTAGTTTCTTATCTAGCTAGTTCTACTAAAATAATAAGAACCTCTTTTCTTTTTAATCTAGTTCTTTATACCTCTGCTTATATCTATATATAAGAGTTTCTAGTTTTCTAAGTCTATTATACCTTTATTAGAAAACTCCTTTAAATTATAAGCTATTATAAGAGTAGCTCTTATTAGTTAGTTAGCTAGTGCTTAGAGGTACTTATTAGTATAGTACTTAGCTTTTTTATAATATAGGTATAGGTTTTTCTCTCTATATTATAAGCGTTCTTTCTTTATAGCCTATTTAGCTTTTCTATAAGATCTATTTACTTCTTTAATTAACTTACCTAAATAGGCTTTTAATAGCTTCTAGTCTATAGGGTTATTTTATAGGAATCTTATTTATAAGAAAGTAGACCTAATTCTAGCCCTAAAGAGATTTTCTTTAATTATAACTACCTAAGTTATTAGTAACTAGATAGTCTAGTTACTTAGTATATCTACAGAAATTATTTAGTCTTATAAGTTAGGTTATAAGGTGCTAAGGTACCTTGTCTTTAGGTTATTTATATTACCTTCTTCTTTTGCTTTAAAGGCTAGCCTTATAAACTCTATATTAAAATATTATAATAAGAGCTTCTTCTATTAGAAGATTTAGAGCTTCTATCTAGCTCTTTTAGTATATAAGTTATTAATAAATTATTTATCTAGGAATATCTATAGCCCTTCTGTAGTACTTATCTTATTATAATCTATCTATAATAGAGTAATGCTAGCAGTAGAGCCCTTTAACTAGTTAAAGATATATCTAGGCCCTAATTCTAGTTCTTTAATATTACGCTTTAGCTTATAGTTTATTTAAGTTTAAAACCTCTAATAGTCCTTCTAATTACTATTAAAGCAGTTAGAATCTAGTATCTTAAAGTTTTTTATATAGGTTCTAATAGGTACTATAGAGAAAACTAGTTCTAGAACTACTCTTAGTCTATATACCTCTTTTTCTAATTATTATACCCTTTATTTAGCTAGAGTAAGTAGCAGTAGTATACTATTCTTAAAAATATTAATTTCCTAGGTTAGTATTTATAATACGTTTTATAATTCTTTTAAAGAAGATTATTTATTAGGTTTATTAACTAGTTATTTACTAGCTACTACTAATAATAGGCTAGCTATTAAGATTAGTATATTTATAAACCTTATTATCTATTATTTATCCTCTTAGAGACTTTAAAAAACTAGTTAAAGCTTTAGCTATACTTCTTATTTATTTAGGTTCTATTTAGCTATAGTTTAGAGGCGTATTTTAATTACTTTCTATATAAAGCCTATTTCTACTAGCTATAAAGCTTCTACTTTTAGCTTAGTAACTATAATATCTCTTTTAATAGATATACTGCTAGTAGTTTTTTAGGACTCTTTTAATTTCTAGAGGAGTTTTTATAAGTAAATTTAAATATAAGAGGCTAACCCTAAGAGTAGTTACTAGTATAAATTAGATAAATTTGCTAAGAATCTATAGTACTAGTTTTCCTCTACTTATAGTTCTTCTAGTAGCGTACTAGCTGTTTCTAGTAGGTGTTAGTAGTTAGAGTAGCTAAGCTCTAAGGCTTTACTTACTAAGGTTCTACTAGGCCTAGCCTGTTATATTCTTTTTTATATAGTAATTAAATACCTGCTTAAGCTAGGTAAGTCTAACGTTATTATTTATCTATTCTAAGAGTAATAATATAATAAAGACTAAGTATTTTTTAACCTCTAAATCCTTAACCTAGCTTAATTATAGAGCTCTACTAGTAGCCTTATAGATAAGGCTTAGTAGTAGAGCTAATCTATTAGTATATATATACACTAGAATAGTAATCTACTTACGTAAGCTATCTTAGATAAATACCTAAACCTTCTTTTTCTCTTATATTCTTCTGCTAAATACTTATTTTAAATAACTAGTAATACTAATTAAAAAGCTCTTCTTATTTATATTATATATATAATAAGGATTTATATTATACTTAGTAATTTTAGAGCTTAGAAGATTAAAGTATAAGCTATATTTAGCCCCTAAATTAGCTTAGTAGTAATTATAGTCTATACCTATAGTCTATTAAGAGATAAGATAGATACTTTAGCAGTTAATAAAATAAGTAACCTAGCTCTTACTTATAGCCTTCTTAGCTATGTAAAAAGTAAAATTCTATACTATCTCTCTTATAAAAGGAAGCCCTTACTTTATAAGCTCTTTAATATAATATATAAGCTTAAGCTCCTATTATAAGTTAAAATTTTATTAATAAGATAACTTAACTTTATATAACGTTGTAATAGCTTAGTGCCTTTATAATAGTATAGAGTAATTAATACTATACTTTACAGCTATTATTATATATTAAAAATTATCTCCTAATTATAATAATTCTATTTCTGCAAGTGCAGCTTTAATTAGAGTTATAGTAGTAGAGTTATATAGTATTAGAGTTTGTAGTGTTTTAGTATTCGCGTGCATCACGCGAATCCAGGCATCACGCGCACGGACACGTTAACATGGGCCTAGTGCAGCGTGCAGGTCAAGACGTCGTCGATGCAGCACCACCACCCGGCCGCCTCTTGCCTCGACCTGCTGCACCGCCAGCTGCTCACCCCCCCCGACCCCTCATCATGGCTCTCCGCCTCGCAGTGGGCCGCCCATTGGCCGCCGTCGCCCGCTCGCCGTGCTGCTCCCACGCCGCGGTGCGCACCTTCGCCTCGACGGCGCTGAGGGCAAAGGAAGTCGCGGGACAGGCGGCCGACACGCCGAACATGCGGGTGCGCGACCACTGCCACGATCGCGACGCTGCTGGTACTAACGCTGCACGCAGTACGCCCCCCGCGACCCCATGGCCAAGCTCAAGGCCGCCATCGTGAACCCGGCCGACAAGTACAAGGAGAAAGGCGAGGCGCTGCACAAGTACGGCCAGTACCTCATGTCGTGTCTGCCCAAATACGTCCAGCAGTTTTCAGTATGGAAGGACGAATTGACCATCTACATCCCGCCCGCCGGCGTCCTCCCCACCTTCACCTTCCTCAAGAACCACACGGCCGCCGAGTACACGCAGATCTCCGACATCACAGCCGTCGACTACCCCACCAAGGACCAGCGCTTCGAGGTCGTCTACAACATGCTCAGCATCCGCCACAACTCGCGCCTGAGGGTCAAGACATATGCCGACGAGGCCACCCCCGTGCCCAGTCTCTGCGATCTCTACGACGGCGCCAACTGGTACGAGCGAGAGGTGTACGATTTGTTTGGCGTCTTCTTTGTCGGCCACCCCGATCTGAGGCGCATCATGACCGACTACGGTTTTGACGGCCACCCCCTGCGAAAGGACTTCCCCATGACGGGATACACGGAAATCCGCTACGACGAAGAGAAGAAGAGGATTGTGGTAGAGCCATTGGAGATGACGCAGGCATTCAGGAACTTCAAGGGCGGCTCCTCAGCATGGGAGCAGGTCGGTCCTGGTGACGATCTGAAGCCAGACAACGTGAGTCTTGCTTGAATCTAACATTAAACTCCACTAACATCCCACAGTTCAGACTGCCCACACCCAAGCCAGAGCCGCCAAAAGAGGGCGAGCAGAAGAAATAGAAGATAGCGTTCCAATGACTGTATATACCTGGATTGACGTACTGTACAACACTAGTTTTTCATTTCGTGGTGTTGCCGTGTCTTGAAACAAATTAACAGGCTTGAAATGCATTGTAGAGTGTCTGCCCCGTCGAGGCTCCAGCAGTACTCGGCTCGCCTGACCTCGCATTCCATCGCCCAAACAGACAAGGCCAAGTTATTCCTCTCCATCACGTCATGCATCTGCCCAAAGTACATGCAACCGCAACCTCACTCCCAAGTAGTCAAACCCCCAAGTCCTCAAACCTCGCATTTCCTCGCCAAGAACCGCACCCCGCTTTCCCTTGTTCCGTCACGACATGCTGTGCTGACCAGCTACATGCTAGGACGGAATGTAGGTACGGTATACCCGAATTCCTACCACACATTGCATATCCAACCTGATGTGAGGAGGTATATACCACACCCTCCATCTCCATTATCTTCTCAATCACCTCCTACCTTTTCCTGTTCTCCATCCCCTACCCATCATAAATGGCCTCCCCACTCCCAAACTCAGAACCATCCCCAAAAACATAAACCAAAACAATCCCCCTATTCACCCTCTTCTCCCCCCAAAAAACAGATATATAGCGCAACCCCCCCTCCCCCTCCCCCCAACCAGCACACCGCGAAACCCCGACTAAGCAGATTAATCCTGCACGTCACGCGACGAACAGGAGCGCACGACCGCAAAAAAAGAAAAAATGGAGAGGGGCAGAAGTGGCTTAAAAGTGTCGTAGAATGCTACCGCGCCGCACCGTGGGTGTCGACGGGCGGACTGGAGTGTTTATCTACATCTACTTCTGAGGGGAGAGGTAATGGAGGGGTGGATGGAAGGGTGATATGGAGATGATGGGCTGGAGAGGAGGGTGATGGGGGGTTGTGGGGGTATTGGGTAGGGGGCGCTTGAGGCGGAGTTTTGCGAGGGGGTTGTAGTTGAAGTTGCTGTTATTGAGGATGAGTAGGGGTTTGGGAAGAGAGAAAACCCAAGAGAATACAGAGTCGCTCAATGCACGATGTGGGTCTAGAGATATCTGTATTCTTTTCTTTTCTTCGCTGTGGATGCTATGCTCTGCTCTGTTTTTTCTGAACAAATCTATAGCGAAATCCCCTTTTCATGTATTCAAGCCATACACCCCATCCACGTCCACGAATCAGGATGGACGAATACACCGACCAAATCAACCCCAATTCATCTTCGATCTTGATACTAGTGCAGTGCAGAACAACACCGCTTGATACATCCCGAACCCTACGGTTCACAGGCCAACGAGAAAAATGGCATAGCAAGTCGTACACCCCGGTACAGAATGCCGACCAGCGCCAAAGGGCGAGGAATTCCCTGTATACCTGGGATTGGGAGTCTGCGCAAGAGTGCACAATGTGATGTGTGCGGTATTCGCTCGTTGGAGCATACTGCATTCGGTCAGTCGGTCGGCCGATCTTGATACTGCGAATTTTGGATGAACTGGGTGGGTTGGGTGTATACGCCTTGTCCCATCTAGATACATCATGCTCTGAGTAGAGAACAGCCGCTCGTTTGAATCCACGTGTTCCATTGAGAAAATGGGATCAAGCTAGATCGGAGTGACAGAGGGAGGGGGAAGATGAGGTAAAACACTTAACCCCAGCATAGCAGATATAAATAGCAGATATAAACACCGACGATGTGTGAAAACACAGTGAAATTCAGACCGATAACACGCTGACTGATTTAGATAAGTCGGTAGTGATATGGATATGGACCAAGGTACTGCATAAACAAGCCGCCAGCCAGTCTGAGATACAGCGTCTGTAAAAAGGGGTCATGTGCTGTAGGGGAGTGAGTGTCGAAGAGGTAAGTGAACGGGGAAGCTAGACCCTGCAAGGATCCAGCAAGTCAACAACACGACGGCGGGTGAGCGTGTGAGTGGAAAGTAATGAGTATAAGTATGAATACAACCCCTCCTCCGTGTCTACATATCCACATATCCCGCCCTCTTACCATGCAACCAATTTGAACGAGCAGAAGACGGAGAGAGAAAAACACACGCGGAAAAGGAGATACGATCTGTCTGTATGTATGTATGTAGATATATGTAGAGTCCGACTGATTTGACTGGCCAACTGACTGACTAATTGGACAAAGCAAACGCAACAAGAGAAAGAAGTACGAGGAAAAACTGCCAGGAACCGCAAAAAAATGTGAATTTGTATAATGCATGCATAGCTAATCGAAGTGGAATACACAAACAAACAAACACGGATACAAACAAAACAAAACAAGAGCAAAGACCAGACAAAGGAAAGAGAATTAATGCAGCAGCAGCAGTAGCAGCGGATTCAGTCGCGAGCACACACACACGCACACGTCCGACCGTCAGCAAAAGCGGTGAAAAAAACGCCCAAACACCAATCGCTGGATGAAGAAAAAAGGTGAGCATGTATGACTAGACTAGATTCATCCATTTGGGGTTTTCAGGCAGGGAAAAAAAAAGCGATGCCACATGTGCAATTGCTAAAAGCCGAGCCAAGCCGAGCCAAGCCGAGTCCCAACCCAGGGTGAAAGCACAAAACAAACAAAGGCTTCGATTATTATCAATCGTTTTTTCTAGAAGCCTGCTTTTTCAAAAGTTCGCAAGCCCGTTCTTCGAGTTCCGCTTGCTGAATCGCTTCCTGCTGCTCTTGACCGAGTCTGCGTCGCCGCGGTCCTTGTGCAAATGCCCGTGCCGTGTGGCGGGGATGTTTACGCCGTCCAGCGCGGAGTCGCCTGCAAGGGTGCTAGTCGGGGTTGAGAGGGTGGAGCGGAGTTCATTGAGGGTAGCGTCGCCTGGGTACGAGTTTGTGATAGTTTGGGAGAGAGCGTAGTCCCTAGCCTGTTCGATGCCGTCGAGCCATTCCTGCGTCGAGTACTTGCTGCCGTTGGGGTCGCTGGTTGTGCTTTTGGGGTCTTCGAAGATGTATTGCTTGTCTCGCTTGGGGAGGGTTAGCAGGCCACAGAACGCGAATCGAGAGGGTTGACCAACTGTTTCGACGAGCCACGCTGTGAGCCCCTTGGAGTCTTGGAATGAGCGCCATGAGCTTCCGGATGCGAGGAGCGACATTTCTTCTTTCAGCTTCTTGTCGTTGGTGCCTGCCGCGCACATCAACACGCGCGCGTTGGAGGTGATCATGACTAGGCGTTGTCGCTTCTTGACTGTGTTGCTGCTGAAGAAACGCGAGAACTTCTTTGGTGTGTCGGCTTGCTCGTCTTTCCCGCCTACAGCATGGCCTGCGGGGTGTTGCGTGACACTCAGGTTGCCAACCTTCAATATACGCTCGTCTCTTTTTGTTAGTACAGGCGACCAGTCAATGTCAAGTTGGCTGGGAGGTGGCAGTTCGGTAATGAGCCTCGGTTTGGGTCGTGCTTGGCTGCTGGCTGCTGCTCCAGGCGCCGATACTGGTGCTGTGTTACCGACGAGGGCGTCTTTCGAATGGTAGGGGTCGTAGTTACCGTTGAGCTTGATAGGTTCTTGTGGAGGTGGACTGTAAGACTTGAGACGCGGGGCCTTTTGTTTCCACAGCCCCTTGCCCCATGTGATGCCGTCGAAGAAGGGGTGGGTCTTGATGTGCTCCATTGGCAGTCGTGTGAGTGGATCCAAGACGAGCAGCCGTTCGACCAAGTCTTTTGCAAGTGGGGGAAACCCATCTGGGAACGTGTAATCCAAGCCGACAATCTTCTGGAACGTCATGTACTCGTTGGCAGCCTTGAACGGAGGCCGGCCTGCGAGAAGCTGGTAGATGATGCAGCCGAAAGCCCACAGATCGCTTGCTTTGCAGGCGTTTTTATCTGTTAGAAGCTCCGGGGACACATACTCTGCAGTCCCGACGAACGACTGTGCGCGGTCCGACTCTGCAGCTTCCATTGGATCCCCAGTGACGGAACCCACGCCGTTCGACTTCTTCTGGTCCAGTATCTTTGCTGTCCCGAAATCTGTGACCTTGACGTGCATTTGGTCGTCTAGGAGGACGTTCTCCGGCTTCAAGTCGCGATGTATCACGCCCTTGATGTGCATGTAGTCGATGGCGTCGAGTATTTGGGCGCCGTAGAACCGTGTGCACTCGACGTCGAAGGTGCCCATCTTCTTCAGGAAGCCGAGCAACTCTCCGCCAGAGGCCAGGTCAAGCACAAAGTACAGCGAGCGCTCGTCCTGGAAGGTGTAGTAGAGCCGCACCACGCCGGGATGTTCCGTGAGGCGGTTGAGCGTGTCCTTTTCGATGTTTACGTATTTGACCTTTTTCTCTTTGATGATGTGGCGCTTGTCAAGTACCTTGATGGCGTACTCGCGCAGCGTTGTGCGGTCCGTGGCAGCCATTACGGTGCTGTAGGACCCCTCGCCCAGCGTCCTGCCAAAGTTGAAGTCCTTGACGCCTTTTTTCACGACCCTCGTCACGGGCCGTCCGTTCTGATCCACCTCTTGGCGCGTGCTCACAGCGGCGCCCCTTTCCTTCCACTCCTCGGTGCTTGGCAGGGGGCCGCCCTCCATGCCGTACGGCGAGCTGGACAGCTGGGTCGCGAGGGGAGGGTGCGGGCCTTCCATGGGTATACGGCGCGAGCTCCTCCGCGGCGGCAGTGGTCCGTTGGGCGACGACAGCTGGGCGGACTGGCGGTAGGGGTCGCGTCTGCTGGCCTCTCTGGAGGGCAAGGCGCCCGGGGCCACGCGTGAGCTGCTGGTCCGGCGTATGTCGATGCCCTCGTCGTTGTAGCGGTAGGTGCCCGGGGCGGTGTTCGAGTTGGTCGACAGGTTCGAGTGCATGTACATGTTGGTCGACATGGGCCGCTCTCGCAGCGGCTGGGGCTGGGCCTGGGGCGGCGGCGGGGCGGTGCGTTGCTGCATCATGGGCGCGGGTGCATAGGGTGGGTAGGCCATCTGCGGCGGCTGTGTCTGGTGGGCGAGCGGCATCGACTGGCGCTGGGCGAGACGCGAGGATGACGACGACGACGACAGCGGCACCTCGGCCAGCGGCGAGGGATGGCCCGGCGACGTCGAGGGCGAGGCGGCGCCAAAGGCATTGGCGTCTATGCCCAGCGAGGCGCCCGTCGGCTGCGCCTCGAGGTAGTCGTGTGAGTCGTGTGGGGGCTCCTGCGGCCGCTGCCTCTCCGTGACGGCGCTCCGTGACGAGGCTTGCGAGGGCGACGACGGGCGGCGCGCTGCAGCCGGGCTCTGGGCAACGGGCGGCGACGGCTGGGCGGGGGACGCGGCGTCGTCCTCGTCTGGGTTCGCGATGCGCAGCCCGCCGAGGGACTGCGACAGGCTCAGGTCGCCATTCATCGTGCAGCACTGGCGGCGGAAGGGGAGCGAGCGAGGGCTGACAGCGACGAGACTGCCCGCGGAGCGATTGGTTCGGCGTGCAGGAGCTGGACCGGGAATGAGGGCATGGGGAACTCCCAGCGGCCGACGTGCTGGAGAATGCTGCGCTGCCGTCAAGATGAGGATAGCAGGCCGTGAGGCTGGACGGCCACTAGGTCATTGCACTGCGCGTCTCGGCAGATCGCTGACGGGGTTCGACACCTTCACCCACACCGCACCTTCTCCCCAGGGGACGCCCTCGACACCCGCCTCTGCCAGAAGGCGACCGGGGCAGCCTGCTCACACTGTGTGCGACAACGCGTGCATACGCTGCCGTCGTCCAGATATCGTGCCAGGTTACGCGAAAGTCAATACGACGCATGCATGCCCCCCGGCTCTACTTCCTCATCTACAGCCAACACACGCAGTACGCGTTGGAATTGCATGGCACCTTCTTCAGCTGATTCTCATTGCATGCAATGTTTGTCATCTTTCTGCAGAGGTTCTGACGCCAATGGTAAGGAAACTACTCTGGTCGCGTGGCTAACAATGCTTCACTAACAATACCTCACTAACCAGCTTGCTCTTCTGAACATACAACGTCAATCGTGAAGGCAGACTAACCAGGCAGTCGACAAACAAGGTCAACTGGCAAGCACTCCATGCATGGACTCCTCTCCTTCTACACCTCTCTCCTTCTGTCCAACTGAGCTCCTCCATAGCAACCGCCAAACCATGGCAGGCAATAGCAATGCATCGTCCGGTAGGTGGTCGCTGGGTATGATTATATACGCACTCCCAAGACAGACACACACGTCTCACCGAGCTCTAACTTTTTGGTTTCTGGACTTTTGGATTGTCCGGTCATCGCCTCTCAATTTCCCTTCGCTAGACCACTCAACATGCTACGTCTAAAGCCGTCAGAGCTCACACTGACATCCGATGATATCGAGGAAACGTTTCGTCGTATGGCACACAGACGAGCCCACGCAGCTGCCCCAAACCATCATGCACGGTCTCCTATGCAATCTGGACGGCCAATACTCAGACGCGGTCCTCAGAGATCGATGCGGGAGGCCATGAGGACGCTTGGGGATATTCCTATCTTACGACCTCAACCTCATCAAACCTTTCATGTCCCTGTGGAAGAAGACGACGAAGACCATGACACGTACGAACCACTTCTCTCAAGAGGAAGGCAACGTATCGACAGCGTTGTGGGTGTCACCACGACTTCGTATACACATCAACAGCACACATCACCAACCCCCAGTGCTGCCTCCTCGATATCTCGTAGCATGCAGCTGCCTCTCAGGCCCGCACGAAGCCATGAAGAGTCGAGTATACAGGCTAGTTCTGACGTGCAAGTTCTCGAAGATATGGTTGTACCTCTAGATCCCATGTCTGGATATCCAGTATTTGGCCGATCCAGGACAAACACATCCGACGAAGCGGATAAGGCTCCCTCGCAATATGGCTCGACAACCCCTACCAGTGGCCCGGCTGAGTTGCGAGGAGGCGGTGGTCGTCCCAACAGGTCTCGCCTTCACCCTCCGTCTGGTCGACATGCACCTGTGGTCACTTCCAGCCCACCACAACACGAGGCGTCCTGTCCTGATCCCACCGATGGCCATCCTAATGTCGAAAATGGAATGAAAATACGGCACTTGAAAGGATACTTCACTGGTACAAAGTGGCTCGATTATGACTTTGTTGAGTCCCATTCATTGCCCCACACCGAACCACGTCGACCCAGCGAACGCTACCCGGTGCCTACGCGAAGTCGATCGTCAGATAGCGTTCCTGCTTTCTCGTTACTGAGACAACGACCGGAACCGTCAGAGTCTTCTGCAGATGACGTGTTTGGAGGCATCGCAGCGCCTGAGCCTCCTTCGAGGTTAGGGGGCAGAGTTTCACATACTTCACATACTTCAGATGCACGTAACCCATACTCTCTCTCGGGGAGCAGAGCCGCTGCAAGGTCAACGAGATTCGATAGCGGAGCTTCAAGCGCCAGTCTTGCGTATTCGTACTACGAGCTTCCTGGTTCTCGACAATCTAGTGGCGAGCAGGGCCAGTACGTCCAGTCACAGTATGATGGAACGGCTGCCGTGAGGACCTCCAACCAAGGAGCGTATTTTTCCATCCCTGCATCGCAGGTTCGCGCACCAGACAGTGTTCCAATACCCCTGCCATCGTGTCCTTCGTCGCACCCGGCTGCCGCCACCCAACATAGTATTTCACCACTACCGGCGATACCATACGCTCGCGCCACACGAGCCGCTACTGGCAGCTTCAACACAACTGACGTGTATGGACAATACCTCGATGCAACCACTGCAGCGGGTCGAGACCTACCTTCCCCGCTTGACCAGTTCCAGGAGCATTTCCGACAACTTGCGCGAGCCCAGAATACTCGACGGGCAGTGTCTGGTCAGGTCAATGTTCCACAGCACCCAGTCGGAAATCCTGACACAAATTGGACTCGCCGAGGTGTTTCCGGGGTGGTGGGTCAACGGTACTACACTGAGGACAACCCTCAAATGCAGAGATGGAGCAGCCATCATCTGCCTCAAGCCCCTGTACCTTATGCAACCCTCCGTTATCCAGAGCATCTTTCCTCTCCAATAGTCAACCCTACACGGCGCAGTACCCCGGAGACGAGGGCAAACCATCGCTCGAGTGAGCTCGATCTTGCCGGACGTAGTCCTCACGATCTGCGAGCTCAGACTCACGAGTCGGCTTATGAGAGACTACAGACCGCCATCCAGGCCATACAGCAGACGAGTGCAAGAAGCAGCCACCAACCAGGCCCTTCTCGTTTCAGCATGCCACAGGGAACTGCTGCTCGCGAAGTGCCGAATCAATCTCGAATGCACTCAATGCACCAGCACGCAGCACATAGAGACCCGTCACACAACTACTATGACGGGACCGGTCTATCAAGCAGTCCGTCCTACAATCCCTACACCGGGACCGAACCATCAAGCACTCCACCCCAGCTCCAAAACTACGCCCATCCCGAAGCACCCCGAACATCGCCCTCCTTCCCACCCCGCCTTCCATCCCGCCACACCTCCACCCAACACCCCGCCGAACCCTCCCACCGCAACAACCCCACACGCCCCCACCACCTCGCCCCACCACCCCACTACCGCGACCTCCCCTCCACATCCCTCACCTTCGACCACGGCAGCGGCACAACAAGTCGCTGGTCCCCGCTCATACGCGCCGCAACTTCGTCGGCGCGTCCACACCGCCCGCGCGTGTCGCTGCTGCAGATGAACCAGGAGAACGAGGGCGAGGCTGAGGTGCAGATGATGCGGCTGGAGCAGAGTGCGTTTGAGGCGAGGTTTGGCGAGGGTGCGCAGATGCATGTCATGGATGAGACGCCGCCGCGGGTTGGGCGCGTGGAGCGGTTTATGGGGTAGGTGGGTGTGGGGGATTGTTGTTGTGCTTTTGTGGGGTGGTTGGTCGGTTGGTGGTTATGCATACACGTGACATGGTTATTCTAACGAAATGATATGTCTAATTTGTGAATTTGATTCTGCGGAATGTCTCAGTATATTTAATTTTCTACAGTTTATTTTTTTTCTCATTTTCGCAATGCGTGGTCGTGTGGATGGTCGGTTGTTAGTTGCGTAGATGCTCAAGTCGGGGGTAGGTGGAAGCGTATGTTTGCAGAAAATCGACCACTCACATCACCGTAATTACGAGCGAGATAGAACATATCTCCTACATGTCATACCAATCACACCATGCCATGCCATGTTATTACTCGGTCTTCTACATCATCTTGCCCTATACGTACCAACCTTGCACTAAATCAAGATAAAATAAAGTCCAAGATAAACCTACAACCCCTTACCACCTACCAAATTCCATCCCATTATACCTCCATAACCCCCAATATCCCCCCCTCCCCTTCCCCTCCACGGGTTCGCATCTCCGCACAGCCCAGCCCAGCCCAGCCCAGCCCGCCAACAAACTACCTCATGCTACACCACATACGTCAACGCACAATCTCGCGCTGCTTGTGCAGATGCGGGGGTGCAATTGCTTGTTCATCCGCTTCTGGGCGCGGAGGGGGGGGGGGAGGGGAGGGAGATGAGAGATGAGAAGTGAGGGGGTGTATGTACGCGTTGTATTGATGGGGGTTGCGAGGGGGAGGGTGGGAGGGTAAGAGCAAGAGCAAGAGTAAGAGCATGTCATATTGAATTGAATAAGTAGATAAGTATATAGGATATAAAAGAGTCATAACGTCATATAGATAGGTAAACAACATTAACGAACCAATACCAATACCAATACCAGTGGCCGTAGCACATCCGTGGCCGCCATCCATCTCCACCCCCTCCCTCTCTTTCTAACGCAACACGAGGAACCCCGCACAAGCGCTAACTAAAAAGCTATAAAACAGATACAAAAAAGGTCATATACACAAGAACACCCTCCCCCCCCCCTCCCTTCCCCTTCCCTCCCCCAATCTACCCACCATCTAATAAGCATCCCCAAATATCTCCCCCGCGCTCTTAACCTGCGCCTCCTCTCCCACCCTCCTCCTCCTCTCCCCCCTCTCCCTAACCTTCCTCTCCCGCTTCGTAACCAAATGCGGCGTAACCGGCGTCACGGGCGTAAACGGCATATACGGACTATACGGCGTATACGGCACGCCCGTCTTCGGTGTCGTGAGGCTGAGTTTATCCAATCTACGGTCTAGCACTGTGGTCTGAATACCAGGTGATTGGAGGGGCGCGGCGTAGCTGCGGAATGGGAGGGAGTTGGCCGGGGTGCTGGATAGCGTTATACTTGGCGCAGCTGGGCGTTGCGGCGCCGGACGGGGCAGGGGGAGGACTTGGTCTAGTTCTTCGTCTGGGTCGTAGGGCGTTGTGGGCGAGTTTGTGTGTGAGGGGAGGGTGGTTTGGAAGCGTGGGGAGAGGGGGGTGCGGGCTTCGTCGTCCGGGGCGGCGCCGGGGTATTTTTGTGCGGGGCCGGAGATGCGCAGGTTTTTTAGGTTGAAGCGTGTTGATTTTGCGCTGGGGGGGTTGGGGCTGCGCTGCGAGAGGATGCCGCGGGGGCTGGGGGTTGGGCCGGGTTGTTGATGGTTGTTGTTGTTGTTGTTGTTGTCTCGGAGGCGGAGGGGCGCGGGGTGCGGGGCGTAGGTTGGCGTTGTGCTTGTGGCTGTGGTGATGGGGGAGATTGGGATGGTGGGGATGTTTTGTTCCTGGGAGAGGCCCGTTGTGCTGATTGCGGATGGGCGTCTGCGTCCCGGGGTGGGCATCTGCATCTGCATCTGCATCTGCATCTGCATCTGCATCGGAATCTGCGTCTCATCGACGCTCACACTCGGCGAGTGTTTCTTCGCATCATGATCCATAACCGCCGCATACAGCCTCTCCATATCATCCTGCGCCCGCTCGCGATCAGCATTAATAACCTTCTGATCAAACGACGACGGGCTCTGAATCTCCGGACTCTGCGGACTCGCCCCAACGCCACTATCGTTCTTCTTGAACTTCCTGAACCAGCTGGACGCAGGACTCGCCGGCGTCTTAACAGTCGGTCGCACGGGCTTTTTACTCTGCAATTCCACCTCCAGCGCCTTCGGCGGATCCAGCGCCTTGCGTCGCATTTTTCTCCCGACGGTGAGCAGCAGCACGCCCCAGATCAGGACTGTGAATACGTAGCCTCCGACTACGCCGCACACCTCGTACGGCAGCCAATCCCTCTCGCGCGTGGCGTGGTAGGACGCCGCGGGGCCGTCGGCAGGCGCAGGGCTCTTGTTGCGGTAGTTGTCGAGGAAATCGTAGGGAGCGGCGCGCGCGCAGGAAACGCTTAGGAGCAGGGAGAAGAGAGCAGGAGGCAGCGCCCTGGACCCCAGCATCATCTTAAGAAGGGAAGGGAAGGGAAGGGGGGAGGCGAAAAGGGCGACTAAGTATGTGACAGAAACAACGTGGATGGATGGATGGATGAATGGGGGAGGGGTACCGTTCAATGACGATCCGCAATCCTACGTATATTCCCGACGCTGAGGATCCGGGAGGGAATAGCAGGAAGTGTAACAGCAGACGACATGGTGATATGAAGGATGAGGGGGGGCGGCTGGCATGTTAAGCTCTACAGGGGGCGACGTCGTGAGTGGTTGTGCGGTGTGCAGGTGAAGAGGGCCGGGGGGTGTGATTGCGTGGGAACGGCGCTGGGCGAGGTGATTGGAAGGGTGTGTTTCCCAGGGCGTCCAGTCGGTGGGCGCTCGCAGCCGCCGGGGCGGGGTCGACAAGCGACGACCACATGGCATGGCAGTCTGCTCATCCGGTGGACGACGTTTGGTTACCACTCCCCGCTCTAGCGATTCATACATTTGTCTACTCAGCCTCACAAGACGGTGTTTCGTCTGAAGTCGTTATAATCCTACGTGCTCGTTCGCATTGAACCCCTCGCACCCTGAAATAGCCCAACCTCCTCGCGCAGATCGCTGTCCGCTCGAGGCACAGCAAACGACGGCCCGCATGCATGGCAAGGCGAAGCCGCGTTCGCGTTCGCGTCCCTGCACGTGTGTGAAATACCGTCTAGTCCACGAATTCCCATTGGCCAGGGGTATATTTTCTAAGCGCCGGGCACAGCGAATCAAATGCAAGCTAGACAACCTCATCACAAGCCACTCCGATACACGAGTTGCGATAATCACATAGGGCCGTCAATCACACATGGCCGTCAATCGGGTCGGGTGGCTCGGCAGTGATGGAAATTCTACGCGGGTTATGCGGGCCATCACATTTGTCTGGATTGCATCGTGACTGATGGATGGGCTTGTCTAGCGTAGCGTGCTGTGCATGTATGTGCTTACGGCTGAGAGTGATGGACGGATTGATTGATTGAGTACTTGATTTGAGTGAGGGAGGGAGTCAGATTGGGGCTTTCCCACCAGCGTCTACGTACGTCCATATCATATCACACACACACCACAACGCGCGTTCGTCTAGCAGGACCAGTCTTGGATAAACTGCCGGCGGCGTGGGCGAACTACCTACAGCACACAGGATCTGGGCAGCAATTCGGGCGGGCCATGCGTGGTGCTGGATTAGCGAATGCTAGCACACATATCTGCCCGAGGAAAGGCTGTGGGAGCTTACTCTGCCGTCCATGGTGCACGCGCCCAATACTTCACACCATCACACGTCGTATCGTACATTGGTAGGCTCCTCGCACGGCTTACTTACCCTCCGCCTTTGCGGTCAGCCCGCCGTCCAGCCCCGTAGGCTCCCACAGACTCTTTTCCTTCTTGTTCTGCACCCACAGGACGTCGCCTTTGAAGTAAGCCACGGCACCACCTCGTCCGGTCGCGCTGGCAGTGATGCGGAAGAGAGGCAGTCCGGTGATGTCGTGAGCCTCGCGGAGAGGGATCATGAGGAGGTTTTCCTCGCCGCAGAATTCTTCTACTACGTCTCTGAATGTTGCTTCTTCCACGTGTGGGGCGGGGCGTGGTGGCTCTTTGTTGATGGATTTCGATAGCTGCGGCGTCTCTGGAGAGGCGCGTGTGCTTTCTATGCGCGGCGCGGGTAGATCTGTGAGACGTGCGTCTCCGAGGTCTAGAGCTTGGTTGATGAGCGTGTATGCCTCGCCCCAGCAGGATGAAACTGAGGGTAGCGCGTTGATGTCGTCCCCGAGGTTGCCGAGCCACCACTTTATCCAATCCTCCACCTCCTTGAAGATGACGCCTTCGCTGGACAGCCATTGGTGGATGATGTCGAGGAACTTGGGGAAGAACTGCGCCTTGAGGAGTTCGCCAATCGTCTGATCTGAGACGAGGCCCTTCCAGGCAAACACAGCCTGGAGCGGCGCGAGATCTTGCTCTGCCGGGTTGATCTCGAAGTTGTCACGCAGATGGGTCGCAAATCGCGGGACTAGGTGGCTGGTGAGGAGACGGTCAATCTCTCCTTTCCCAAAGACCTTTCTCCACTGCTCCATGCCTGGCAATGGCCCTCGAGATAGGTCAATAGACTGCAGTGCGTGTCGAATCTTGCGCTTGACTTCGGCCACCAAGCCCGAGCCCTTGGGATCCAGATCGGCTGGCTTGAGATACGGCAGCCACTCAACAAGCCAGGTATGCGGGCTCTTCTTTGATTTGCGGGGATTCCATTCGTGGATAGAAGCAGACAGTTTGCGCGTGATTTGTTCCAGCACCCGCTTGGTGATGAACTTTGGCAGAACTGGCGTCCAAACCTCCATGAGATGGACCATAGGGTGGGGAGTCTTCACGTCCCACTGTGTCACTGCTGAGCTCACCTGGGGCAACCAGAGCTTCAGCATCATGGTTTCGTAGGCTGATGTTGTTCCGCGCTTGACGGGGTCTTCTTCTTCGATAGCAGTGTGAGTGACCAGCGCGTGCGACGGATGAGTGTATGCTTGAGAAGCAGCCCTTCGACTGCGCGGCTGTATGACGTTGGCAAGTTCCGAGAAAGACGTCGCCACCTCTTCAAGGGCACCATCGAGTGGGGACCAGGTCGCAATGAGTTGTGAGAAATGCGGATGTATGACAGCGATCGATTCACGATGTAGGGGCTTGGAAGGGTAGGCGGCGCGCAGATCTCTCAGGCCTGCGCAGACGTCCTTGAATGTGCTTGTGCGTAGTGATCCCAGCCTTGCATGTATGTCTTGTAACTCGTTCATCTGTCTCTCCAACGCTTCCAATTCTTTCTCCAGGGCATATTCTTGCGGCGCGATGGCCTTTGACTCGATCTGCAGCTCCTCGAACGCTTCAGAAAAGCTGTTCAGGTCTCGGCGCACGCGTGCTTGGAGGGTGTTCTCGAAGGGGACAACATCAGTCCCGCGGAGGGAGACGCCTGATGTGGGTGTGGATGCGCCCGTGGTCGCGTCGATGATGGACTGCAGGGCCAAAGGCACGTGCATGCCCGCTTCCTCAAGCTCGAAGACGGTCTTCTTTGCGCGCGGGGCTGTTGTTTGGGCTTGTCGCGCCCTGGCCTTCTTTTTCCTTTCTTTGCGCTCTTCCTCGGATGTGTCGACGTATTTCTCGCCGTTTGCCTCTGCCTTCCTGCGCTCTTCGCGCTTCTGCTGCTCGCTCTTCTCGCCCACAATACCAACACCCCCCTTGCTGCCTCGCAGGACTACTTGGATGGGTTCCAAGATACCCTCTCCCTCCCTTCCAAGACCGCCAGTCCCCCTGTAGCCCATCTTGGCCAGCATCTTCGCGCCGAAGCCCGACTTGAGCGCGGTGCTGCCATCCTCTGGCTTTGGCTTCTTCCTGGGCTCCTGCCTGAAGGTGGGTTTGCGTTTGAGGCCCTCGCCGTCCATTTCGAATGGGTCGGTGAGTGGAGAGGTGGTATGCGATGCGACGGCGTGTTCGGGGAGGTTGAAGGTGGGAGTAGAGTTGCGATGATCTCTATTGACAGGCGCCAAGAAACGGGCCGCCCCCATGCCTGTCCGGTGACGCTATTCTTGGACTCAGCCCTGTGGAGTGGACATGACTTGGAGAGCGACTGCGACTCTAATTCCTTTTCCCCTGGCCGCTCCCATAACACACGTCCCCACATTCCGGAGTACTGGAGTATCGGTGCATTCAAATACTGGACGTCTGGACTGCCCGACATGGCCACGCCGCCGCCTCTCGTCCTCACCCGGTCCAGAGACCAGACCGAGGCCAGCCTGCGCCATCCCGTGCCCGACCTGCAGTCGCTGCAGGGAGCCTACGTGGGCAACATCGAACGCCTGGAGGAACATGCCGAGCGCATGAGCGAGAAGGGCTCGGACCTGGGCGAGGAGATCCGCAAGCTGCACACCGAGTTGAAGCAGTCGGACAGTCGCCGCTCGTCCTTCATGTCCAACCAGCCCTTTGAAGAGCCCATGCGCCAGTTCAGCACCCGCAGCCGTGGTGTCTCCATTAGCTCGCATGCAAACTCGATCGTTGACGTCAATGGGACTGCGCGGTGGGGCGGCTACTCGCCCGCTGGCTACATCACCTCACCCGTCGGCTCCCAGGGCTCAAACTCGTGGGCCAATCCTCCGCCGGCCCCCGGTCAGCGCCAACGCTCAGAGTCAAAGACGTCGCGATTAGGGCAGATTGTGCACCCTGAGGAAGTGGAGGAGGCGAGAGACGTGTTCCCAGCATCGCCCGACTCACCCCGCTCGGCTCCATTTGCTGGCAACCGATACGAGTCTCCGCCTCCGACCGATCGCCGCGTGGTATCCTCTTTCACGCGCAAGTACGAGGAGATTGCCCAACAGATACAGGACGGCATGGACACAACCGACCAGCCCTACCACGAAGGCTCCCAGTACCGAGCCCACCATGACCCCTACGATCGACCGGCCACGGCAGCTTCAACAGACACCACACAGCAGGCCCGTACGCTGTGGCATGACTTTGACGGTGCACACGCCCCAGACACCGTCCCTGAGGAACCCGAGCCATCTCACGGCGGTGGCAGTCGCCATTCATCCTTCATGAGAGGGCTTGACATGCCCTCGCAAGGCGCACCGCCACCTGACGAAAACATGGTCTTCTATCCAGCCCCAGTTCCGAGAATGTTGAACCTCCCGAAACGGCTGTCACAACTGCCCGCCTCCGACGTGCAAGCTCGACGACGCACACAGATCATGGAATCAATACAGGCTGAAAACAGAAAGTCTGCCCACATGATGGGAGATGTAGTAGATACTAGCAGGAAGAACCGGCAAAGTATGGCTAATCTTCCTCCCGCTCTGCGAGCGAGTGTCTACTTCGACCACCAGAATGGGCCTTCACAAGAGTTCGCCGTCAAGGGGGAGTCTGCAAAGGATACGCTTGACAGCATTCTCGATGCGTCGGCACATGCACCTGTTTCTGCCTTTGTCGATCATCCGTATGCTGGACATGTCGGCAACGAAGTCTACGGACAAGAAGACAAGCGCAGAAACTCCAAGTTCCCAGAGCGGCCCAACCTTGCAGAGACCCGGAGGCGAAGTTCTTTCAACGTCCTAGATACCAAGCACGGCTCGAACGGTGCCAAATTGAACAAACTGAAGAAGCGTAATAGCTCAGCCGACATGAATGTGCTGGTCGTAAGAGCGAGTGAAAATCGGATGAGCCTGGGTGCCGAACTCGACGAACACGACGACTACGCCAGAGGCCCGCCAGCTGACGAGACATCTGGATCCAAGGCGCGGTATTATGCAAAATCAAACAGTCAACATTCAGGGGATGAACACAGTCATCATGAGGGCGACGATGACGAACGCAGCCATCATGAGGAGAGCGATGGTGATGAGCCTGAAGAAGGCGGGGGTGAGGACGAGGAGGTAGAGGAACAGCTTTTCGGCGCTCCAACCACGCTGCTTGCCGAACTCCAGATGCGCAAGGCAAAGCAAAAGACTCGCAACATGAACTACGCAACCATGTTCGAGCAGGGCATGCTGAGCCAACACAGGACACTCCTCCAGCTCGACGACGAAGCCGAGAAGGAAAAGCAGAAGCGTATCCGAAAGAAGGTCCAGCTAGCGTGGGAAGCCCAGGCCGAGGAAGACGACTCGGACGACGACGTTCCACTCGGCATTCTCTACAAGCAAAACAACCAACGCGAATCCGACTGGGACCGTCCAATAGGTTTGATTGCACAGCGTGAGCTTGAAGATAGTGAGCCGCTCAGCCTACGACGCAATAGGCTTGTTGGGTCAAATCCAAACAGACTAACAACAGCGAGTCCACTGAGGCGAGGAAATTTCCTAGGAACGTCTCCAAGCCAGCAATACCTCAGCGTCCCAACCTCAACCACACCTGGCGCAGAGTCGGAAGAAGACACCGGCGAAACACTAGGCGAACGCATGCGCCGCCTAAAAGAAAAGCAAATCCTCGACTCGGCGCTCGGCTCCGACCCCCGCAAAAGCACCGTGAGCGGCGACTTTGCCACAGAAATGCTCAGCAAGTTCGGCGTCAGCGACAACAACAACAACGACGAGAAAGACAAAGACAGCGCAATCCCAGCCCCGAAACCCACGCCCTCCCCCGGCGCAGACGGCGAGGAGGAAGAAGAAACCCTCGGCCAGCGGCGCGCGCGCCTCCAAGCCGAAGCCCTCGCCCGCGGCGACGAGCCCTCCACCACGCGCCCCTCCCTCCCCTCAAACATGAGCATGGCAGACGTCCTCTCCGCGAACCCAATGGACTCGCACAACCAGGCGCGCACCATGACCGACCAGGCGCTAATATCACACCTCCCGCAGGGCAGCCTTCTGCACCAGAACGTCCTTGCCGAGGAGCGGCGACGGACTCAACGCTTGAATGTAAATTCGCGCACGTCCAGCTACGGTATGCATGATTTTCTTGATCCGCTGGTGAGGAGCGCGCCGAAGGTCGAGCAGGATGAGGCGCTGGCGGAGAAGATTAGGAGGTATAAGGATGTCATGGCTGGGGTGGGGGTGGGGGGGTCGCAGCAACAACAGTCTCAGAGTATGATGTATCCGGGGCAGATGATGCAGGGGCAGTCGCAGATGATGGGACTGCAACAACAGCAACAGCAGCAGCAGCAGATGATGATGCAGCAGGGTATGATGTATCCTGGGCAGATGATGCAGAACGGCATGCCCATGAATATGATGCAGAACGGTATGAATATGCCCATGGGTATGCAGATGAACATGCCCATGAATATGCAGATGCAGATGCAGATGCAAATGGGCATGGGCATGCAGCCTATGATGATGGCGCCGCCTATGCCGCCCCAGCATCGCGAGATGATCGATCGATGGATGCAGGATGTGCGGCAGTGAGGGGTTGGCTTGTGGGCTGTGGACTGTGTATGGTTTCGCCTTTCTTCGTGTAATTCTTTTATTCTACGGACTGGGATAGGGACTGGGATAGATGGGCATGGCTTGGTATGGTATGGCATCTTATAGTATCTTATTTATATAGCGAGGCGTAGCGTAGCGTTGTTTATTTCATCATATTTCACCACATCGCTTCGCATCCCCATTATATCGGTCTTTAAATCTCCCTTCCATCTTTATGAAAACCCCATTTTCCATGTGATAAATCTCGCTTGTATATTTTTTCCCCTTCTTCCCGTCTTCCCACCTTCCATCATAGTCCATTATGTTGCCCACACACCGCCAAGGAGAAAACAACCCCTTTCACACACACACACACCAAAACATGCAGTTTGAAATATTGCATGTCATCCAACTTCTTCTTCTATTTTTTTGCGCTGCTCTCTGCTTGTTATTCCATGGATGGATAAAAACACAGACAGACAGACAGAAAAACAGACAGGCTTGAAGATAATAAACCCCAGATTCCATCTCGACATCTCAACATCTCCATCTCGATAACGAAACACGGCGTTTCATTACATCAGATTACATTGTATTGCATTGCAGATTTCCCCGCAAAGTAAACGCTGATAAGGGGGGCTTTGCGGGTACGCGGGGGGTTTGTGGTTACTTGGTGTGCTGGTGCGGGGGTGGGGGGTGTTGTGGGGGTATTTTGTGGGTTGGAATTAGATGCGCTGTGGGTTTTAGGGGTTGCTGGTATGCTGGTGTGTGGGCGTGTAGCTGGTGGTTGTTGGGTTTGGGGGGATGTGTATTCTGGTAGATGATATTGGTGGGTGTGGTTGTTTTGATTAGTTGGGGTGAGAGGGGAGGTGAGATGAATGGGCATCTGTATGTACGGAAATTTATACTCTTTCTCGCTAGAGTTATGCTAAACATGCACCCCATATAGACGACTCGCATAGGAATAATAGCAACGCACTGTTGAGAAGATACCAATGAGATACTATTGTAGAAACACACATAGAAGATATATACAAGATGTGCTTGTGGGGATGGGTCTGACTAGCACTACGCCGTTGCAGTTCAAGTATCTGAAGAAGAAGAGGTGCACGACCAAGGCTCTCCTGAAGTCAGAACATGATCCCAATCTATCTCCTGCTGTCCATACTCCTCTTCATTCTCGTCTTCATACTCCTCTTCGCCGTGGAAAGCATATTGCACCGACTCTGTGATCAACGACTGGGCTGCGGAAAGAGCCTGTGTGGCGATATGGGAAAATGTACTCATGGTCGTTGGAACCGGGTTTAGGGGCGCCGCAGTGACAGTGACAGTGAAGGTTGTGGTTGAATCTGAAGTTGTTTGAGGCTCCTTTGTGTGCGGCAACGAGTATGTGTTGGGAATGACGGGCAGTGATGCGTATCCGAGCTGCTCCATCTCCTCTTCACAGTCGCCTTGGCATCTTAGGAGACCAAATTCCTTCTCTAGCTCCTCGTCCGTGGGTTTTCGCGACGAGTTCCCTTGGTCGATGTAGATATCTTCCGGGCTCAAGTCGGGCCTATTCCATTCATCTGTTGGTGATTTGGGACTGAAGTCGCGCTTATTCCATCCAGCCTTTGGTGTATTGCTTCCTATGCGTTGCGGTGAAGGAGGGTTGGGATAGAACGGCGTGTTTTGTTGGCGAGCTTGATTTGCCTGCCGAGCGTACCATGGATCCCCGAAGAGGAGAGCAAAACCGGGGTCGTCGACCAGAGCCTCGGGCCAGCATGGGTTCATTGTGAGCCCCTGATCGTCAAGATCGTTAGGTATTGCGTTAAAACCCAGTCTAAAGACCCTGTCTACTAATCGAACAGTCTCAATCCAGACTTCCGTGACCCTACCATTACAAACTGGTAGATCGTGGTCGCTAGTGGCTTGTTGTATGGTCCTAGTCTGGACTTTATTAGGGCATACTTTTTTGAATAGTTGTCCTGCCCTGCTGTTTCCCAGCCTAGGGCTTAAGCGAATCCACACGTTTTTGTCACGGCCTTGCCAAACCGCTGCTGGAGGAAATTCGTCGCGTTCACAATTGACCTTGGCTGCTCGCATCCAGCCGGTTATCCAATCTGTATGATGACTTGTATAGTAATCATTCTTGACCTCCCGAATGTCACCCTGGCCAACGCCTTTTTCATCGCCACAAGTGATGCTAGATAGCTTCGGTCTGCGGCTTATGACTGAGCTGTAATGGAGGCAGGCTTGGCTCATCCGATCATATTCACAGACTTTGTCGACGAAGACTGAGTCCGGGGGTTGTAACCAAACGCTTTGCGTGATCTTTTTAGGTCTCAAGCGCTTGGCCAACTTGGTGTTCCTCTTCGAGCATTTAGCAGTCTTCCCTGGAGGCTTGGTTGGCTTTGCGGAAGGGCCGCGATCCTTCTTGGTTATCTGTGGCTTGTCCACCTTGACGTCGTAGTCTTTTCCTTGAAACTTGAAGATGGATTTACCTGCTTTAGCGAGGCCCTTGGCACAGAGGTTTGCTAGAGCTGGTACCGCTGCTTGTATGGCGAGTCTGACCAGCCAACCTAAGCGAAGCACATTAGCATATTTAGAGTGAGACAAATGATATGGAAACTTACCAACCAACGGTATAAAGGTGAGAGGTGTCAACGCAGCAGTGATTGCGACTCTGCAAAGTTGCTTTGCAACAATCTCTAAAGCTGCCGCTTCTGCGGTCTCCAGGGCAAGTTCTTTGGCTTCATCCTTCATCTTGTCTTCAACCTGCTCCTTAGTGATAGGAGGCTTGAAGCCCGCACAGCAATAGCTCTGAGTACCTCCGGTGCAGCTCTGGTCTTCAGTATCCGAGTGGTGGTTGGTATTTTGTGTCATCTCAGTTTCGCCGTCCGCGCATCCGCCAGAGCAGGGGATACCTAGCCCACGATATCCGCGCCATCTGCATTTGCCCATGATACTTCCTTTGGCGCAGCACAATCGCCGGAATTCACCCTTGACGCAGCGATCCATCGTTGATAGGTCTCCAGGTTGTCCATTCATTTGTGAAGCCTCGTGCTCTCCCGGGGCACATTTCTCATTGCACATAGTCGTATAGCAGACACCCTGGGCAGCCTCATCCTGATAAAGGACCTCTGCGTCGGCAATATCCCCTTCAGTCCAGTCGTCGGGGTAATTCAAACTCTTCTCCTTTTGGTCGACCTGATCAATCGCCCAGACCATCAAACCGCCTACAAAAGTGCGTGAGTTGCGGAACTTCTTCATGGTGATAAGATCTCTTACCTAAGCATCGAGAGTTGGCAAATTCCTTTTTCTGCTTGAATGTGTCTTGGTCGTCGTAAGATACCCATTGATCATCGTCCCAGTGGATCCCTTGGGAGATTGCGTCAGTACACTGCTTTCTTTGCAACGGACGTTGTCTTTGACATACATTTCACACCCGCCTTTTGGTCATGAATAGGTTTCAGGTTCTTCTCCTTGATGATCTCTTGAATCTCCTGGAGTGTAAGGATACCAGAAGCCTTGGAGCAACGACCTTCTTTACCACCCCCAGAAAACGTGCAAGACCCGTCAGGCTTGCTGCAAGAAGCGTCAGTAAGAGTAAACGATCGACCATAATCTGGATGAATGACGTCAGAAAATGCCAATGCCAAACTAGGGAGGTGTGATCTTACAGCCTTTGCCGAGGACAGCCTTTTCTGGTTTTACTCCAGCACGCCAGAGAAGGTCCAATGCAAGGTTAATTTCTGTGATATTGGTATGCGATGCAATCTTTGGTCCGATCCATCTTGACGCGGCATCCCAAACACCGTGAAGATCGTAAGTCATGAGGTTGAACCAGTTCACGGAATCCTGGTGTTTGGCTAGCTCGAAATGCTGCAAATACCAATAAGATGCCGGTAGCGTTATGCTATAGCCATATTTGGAGCCAAAGGCATCCTTTATGTCCTTAGATAGGAGAACATAATTAGCAGAATCCTCCGCTTTACCACCGCGGTCGTCTTGCAAAAGTCAATAAACCTGTGTCAACGAATCCAAAAGATCAGACCTGACTTACCTGCAGTTGGATACTCCCAATCCAGATCCATACCATTGAACCCATAAGTATCCATGAACCTGATTACGTTGGTGATGAACGTTTTGCGATTTGCTGCTGTACTGGCCATGTTGCTGAAAGCTTGTTGATATGGACCAGCTGAACGTACAAACAAGCACCATAGGTCAGAGAGGCAGGTAAATATATGTTGGATATCAGAACTTACGATCATTGAAAGACCAGCCACCGACACTCACCCAGGTCTGCAATCCAGGTTTCTTCTCCTTCAACTTCGTGAAACGATGTAGTAAGCTGCCTGCATTCTTGTCCATCGGCACGATCTCGAAAGTTGCAGGGTTAAAGAAGACGAACGCAAAGTTGAGGTGAGTAAAACCATTGAGGTTGAGATCTTCGGGCTTGACAGCACTGCATGCCCTTGTGTTCGCCCACGACTCATAATATCCGATGTTTATGCCTTCGACACTGCCACCATTCCTGCTGCAGGACGGTCGCTTGACATCGCCACAGCCTCCAAAGCTCTTCTGGCAGCCATCGTCGCAGAATTCGGAAGTTGAGCCGCAAAACCTAGAAGCTGAGGTTAATGATCTGCAGGCGAAATGTAGGAGTCGGTTTACTGGGTGACGTACCCAAACTTGGAGCAGCATACCCCAAGTGGACACTTCTGGTTACCAGGTGTGCCGTACTGACCGCACTCAGCCTTAGCATCGCAGTTTGAGGAACAGTTCCCGGCTCCACACTCTGAGGGCGAGTAGCCACAAAGTCCGGAGACCTGAACGATTTTAGCCCTGGCCTGAAATATAGGGATGATTGCTTACCTTGCTACAGCAAGCCCCGTTCACACAAGGCGTCTGATCATTGCAAGTTCCTACCGGTAGGTCGAGAGTTTGGGCAGGAAGGTCGTTTTGCAAGATAGCAAACGCAGAATTGAGAAGAAAATACGAGTTCTCAACTTCACTCTCATTGGTTTCATTAGAGGAGAATGAACCGTTCTGACAATGAACAGAATCGCCGAGCAACCCGAGGGCCAAAGAGAGGCCGTAGAAATAGATGAACCGCATGGTCAAGAATTGGAGATTCTGGAGAGAACCTCAAATGTCTAGAGAGTAAGACACAGTCTGGTGGAAACTCAAGAGTATATAAGACATAGATTCCGACGGGCGGTTTTCCCGAGACATTGTATGCAAGGCCTGGCTATTCATGATTCAACATCGTTTCTCTCCGCGGAACTCTATACCTGCGTTGGCATGTAGGGGATATTCGCCTCACTCAGGTCATGCACCGCTAGTATAAGGACATCTTGAGTTAGGTTCAATCCTGAGCACTGATGGATGTGATCACTATTGCGTAAACCTCGGTTTCTGAAACTCTCAACGACACCCAAGACTACTACAACTACACTTACCCATGTGAGGTAGCTTGGCGTTTCGGGGCATTTTTCTTGTTGAGGCAGGTGAAGGAAGTTTTAGTGCACAAATGGTCAAATAAAGTGCATACGATAGATGGAACACAGTAGCATAGGCCACTTTTGCCAACAAATCCTACCTAGGACAGGAACATTAACACTAAGGTACAAAATTAGGTAATTTACTCCGCAGCTTTATCAGGTAAAAAATACAGAAGAAAGACTATATTTTATACTGTAATACAGTGTAAAACGTAAGGTAAATTTATATAAACTTAGTATAAAATAACTATAGTTTATTATTAAATAGGTAGGTAAATTTATACCCTATTTTATAATAAGTATATAAAGACGTTTACAACTATTATATATTAAATTATACTATAAATAGTATATTTCTTAATTATTACAGCCTAGTAAGTACGTTAGTAGAGGTATCTTTATACTGTATAGAGTCTCTATTATTAGGTAAGACTCTAAGTGCTACTACTATCTTAAGCTTAATTAGGCAGTAACTCTTAATACTACTATTAATATCCTAGAATACTTTACTAGGTAGTTAAAAGATACTAAAGATCTAGTTAAAGCCTATGTTTATTATTATTAGTATTTTAATAATAAGTTATTTAACTTACTATGTAAATAAACATACTTCTATCTAATAGAAAAGAGATATACTCTTTATAAGAAGCTTTTCTAATACTATTTAGACTCTTCTTTTAACCTATTACCTTTAGAGTTTATTACTAGTAGAGTAATTATAACTGCTAAGTTAAGTACTATTCTTATTATAGTTAGAGCTAAAGTAGAATAAGTATAATTACTAAGTTAAGTACTATTCTTATTATAGCTAGAGCTAAAAGAAAAGATATACTCTTTATAAGAAGCTTCTTTATTACTATTTAGAACTTTATTATAGTATACTTTCTAAGAAGTATAAAGTAGTAATAAAGGGTATTCTCTCTATTAGTAAAGTTAATACTAATATATTTAACCTCTTTATTAGATAGATATATAAGAAGAAGCTATTAGAAAATATACTAATACCTTTCTTTTTAGTATATTATATCTCTATTAAATATTAGTCCTACCTTATAGCAGATATACTCCTAGCTTCTAGATAGAAAGATACTTTAATAGAAAAAGCTTCTTAAGTACTATTTAGGCTTCTTCTAAGGTACGCTATCTAGTAAGTTTAAAGAGATAGCTAATAATATTATCTTTATCTACTAAGTTAATACTAATGTATTTAATATCTTTATTAACTAGATAAAAAGATACTTTAATAGAAAAAGCTTCTTTAGTACTATTTAGGCTTCTTTTAAGGTATACTATCTAGTAAGTTTAAAGAGATAGCTAATAGTATTA